ATTTGTTTCAGAGGTACAGACCTGAGATTCAACAGTCTTGCACAATTCACAGCGCTTACCAGAGCACATACCCTCCCCAGTGTCTATCACCCATTCACCCCATCCCTCCCACCCCACCCCCGAGCACAGAGCCTTTTAAGGCCATGTTCAGCAGAAGCCAGAATTACCTAGGCTGTGTAAGCAAGATTTTCTGAAGGTAGAGACAGCTATGGACATTTTATGAAACCTTCCCTGGTGATTCTAACCTGCAGCCAGAGTTGAAAAATCTGTGCCAGTGCTGAGGTGGAGGATGATGGCAACCGCTGTCAGAGGAACATTGGCTCCCAAGAAGAATAGATACCCCAGAGGTGGAGCAGAAGAGTCCTCAGCAGACCCCACGCTCTTAAGGAATTTTGTGTAGGAGGCTGAGAAGAGTAGTGGTGGGAGTGCCTCCTCTGAGTAACAATTTGGGAGAAGTTTGTTTCTTAAAGCAGCAGAGCTTCTGTGTTCACAGTAGTACCTTATGTCCCCTTCAGTGTTTGATCTTAGAATTAATTTTTCAGAGAAGGACATTGGCATCCCTTGGGTTCAGCATCATCCTGGATAACAACAGACACCAGTTGTTAAAAATATGATTTTCAGACCTCCTAAGAAATTTTGACTTTTTAATCACTTAAAAAGTTATAAGCTATTTCAATGCTATAACAATAATCAAAAATGTCAACTTATATATTTATGAGTCTCTCCCAAGACACATGTGCCTCTAGAGACAAAAGACATGAAATGAAATGAAGATAAGAGAAACTGAGCTTGGGGCGCCTGGGTGGCTCAGTCATTAAGTGTCTGCCTTTGGCCCAGGTCATGACCCCAGGGTCCTGGGATCAAGTCCCACATCGGGCTCCCTGCTCGGTGGGAAGCCTGCTTCTCCCTCTCCCACTCCCCCTGCTTGTGTTCCCTCTCTCTCTGTCTCTCTCTCCTTGTCAAATAAATAAATGAAATCTTTAAAAAAAAGAGAGAGAGAGAGAGAGAGACTGAGCTTACCTGAGGGATGTGACTCAGAAACAATCCAGAGGACACCAGGACAGTATAGTTATGTCTCTGCCCCTGCCATGAGTACAGCCTTTGTGTATAGCAATTCAATTCAAGGCTGATGCAAACACTTGGGAGTTAGCATCAGACTCCACAGGCTAGAAAGCACAGTTCCCAATAGGACTGTCCCCACTTTAGATGCCAGCCACAAGTTCAGGGATCCCCAGGCCATCTGCACTTCTGACCAAATGACTACAAGTCCAGGAGGTTCCCATGCCCACCTCCCCACCTTTGTTTCATTAATTCACTGGATCAATTCACAGAACTCAGGAAATCACTGTATTTAAAAATACAGTTCTATTATAAAAGATTCAAGTCAGGGTGAAACATGAAAAGATACATAGGACAAGGTCTGGAAGAGTCATAACACAGAGCTTCCATGACCTCCCAGAAACCAGGACAAAGGCCAGGCAAATTCTTTATTATACAACAAGCTTCATACTTTGGGACACTATGTTGTAGAAGAGGTAAAACAGGATAGTCACACTGTGAAGACTGAGCTTTTGTCTAAGACAAATTCCCATATGGAATGGGATTTTTTTTTTTTTAAGATTTATGTATTTACTTGAGCTAGAGAGAGAGACAGAGCATGTGAGAGCATGGAGGGGAGGGGCAGAGGAACAGGGAGAGAGAGAATCTCAAGCAGACTCCCCGCTGAGTACGGAGCCCAGCTTGGGGCTTGAGGAGATCATGACCTGAGCTGAGATCAAGAGTCAGACACTTAACCAACTGAACCACCCAGGCACCCCTGCAATGGGACTTTAAATAAACCAAATGGTCAAATTCAAAATGTTCTTTTTAAACCAAAATACTGCTAACTGGCAAGTCTAAAATGTCCTGCCACCCCACAGATTGTAGGCTCATGAGCAAGATCAGTTTAAAGGTTATGGAACTGATTAGCACTAA